GCGGAAGGATTAGGGTTTGGGTTTGAGAAACTCTATGGAGGAGGATGAGTTGGCTCTGATGCCATGAGAAAGGTAATCGGAGAGGATAATCAGCCTTCTCCTCTTAGGTCTTATTAATAGAATGAGAATTACAAAAGTATTTGTCCCTAACCAATGTGGGACTAAATATAATAACTCTCAACAAAGTACATGTGTAACATAATCATAATATATTCAAAGGATTAAGCCTATCGTACTGTACTGTATTGAGTGTACCAAATTAGTGGCCTTGGGAGAATAAGTAGCTTTGGACAAGTGAATGGCTTGACTCCAAGCATACAATTGTCCTTCGGGCACTCTATGGCAGGTTATGGGTGCTCTCTCATTGAATTAATTTTCAGTGTTTCATGCACAGTTTCATAGTACTGGAGTAGAATGTGTAGCCTTAGTATCATGACTAAGCATGTTTTATGAAATTGTGATAATGTGATTTTGTGATATATGACATGAGAATATTAGTTTCCGCCCTAGACTAGATCTTCTTTTTGCGTTTGTATGATTTTAGATTTAATTGTCACCTTATGATGATTTTTTTCCCATGCACATTGATATGTTATATTAGATTTACAATTAACCTATTTCGCACTATCTATCTACAAATTTATTGCCATCTTGTAATGCTTGTTACTGAACTGGTCTTAATCCTCTAATAAGAGTTTTCTACTCATTGGCCTGTAACCGACCCCTTCCTCTCCAGCCTTTTTCTGATAAATCTAGCTTGCAATATTTTGAGCTCAAGGAGTTGGTAGTCACTAGAGGAATTCCTCATTTGGTTTTTTATTGTTGAAATTAACACATATGAGCCTATATATGTTATAAGGGACAAGTTGGTAATGACTATAACATGTAGCATTATGTGTTATTCTAGTAGTAGAATAAGCTTTGAAACTTCTGATGTCATTAAAATTTTATTTTGTAAACAATTTTTTATAGTTTTATTGAAGTGCACAACAAGCTTAAGACGTTCACTTTCCCTATTGTCACACACCTCAAGCAATGAAACAGTGTCAGGGGCAGAATAGGTGGTACTGAGTATCATATTAATATGTTGTTTTAACCTTTGTAAACATTCAACATAACTTTCCAAGCGAACAAATCAGAGAATCAAATTTTATGGAGTGAGTTTGGCCATTAGATGGCACCTCATTCGAGCAAAATATCGATTTATGACCAATTTGACACCAGGAAGTGTTGCTTCTGTTGAGCTTAGTCAATGATTAATTCTTTAACGTACGTATTTGATTGATTCGCAAATGGCCTCTGTATTAAGCATCTACATTCTTTTCCCTTTGTTATTGCTTGTGAATTAAGTTTTCTTCATATACATAAGAATTGTTGGTCTGTACGTAAGCTTAAATTTTTGGCTAAATGCATAGGTTTCCATGTGGTTCTATGCCCACATACGGAACAGATGTTAATTATAAACTTTGCTTGATGTTGACATATCTCCTTAAGCTTTTGGACAAGGTAATTTTCACAGGTAGATAGCATGCATTTACACCACTCATTATTTCTGTGGATGAAAACGGAAAATATAAAGGATCTGTCTTTTATAACTAATATTATTTCCTTTCTGACTTTTGCCTTCTGAAAATGATAATTAGCTAGCGAAAACCATCCATCACTTTTGATAATCAGCTCTGCAAGTGATACTTGTTCACCTTCTCACCATCTTATGGTATCTAAATCGCACCAAGTTCCTCATATAATCTCATTTCTTGATGACATAGTCACATAGACATGGGTATTGGTTGATCAAATCCCAGAGCACAAAAATTAGCCTTCTAGATTTGGCTCATGGTTAATAACATGATTTCTTGCTGTGATAAATATTTTAGTATACTAAAATATTTTAATTTATATTACAACGGTTCATTCATCAATGCCTAATATCAAACTTATACAATTTTTTAACATAAAACCTTTTAGGGTTAATTGCAAATAGACCCCCTAAACTATCACCCAATTGCTGATAGACACCTTGTAGTTCTACTGTTGCAAATGGACTTCTTGAGTGATTTTTTGACTATTTTATCCTCAGGATGTCTATTTGTTAAAAAAAACAAAACAATTATTTCTTTCTCTGAGGGCTAAAGAGTTAAAAAAATCACTTGGGGCTCTATCTCCAACAATAGAATTCCAAAGGGTCTATCCGCAATTGGAAGATGGTCCAGGGATTTATCCTCAATTAACTGATTTACTTATATAGAAGATTTAGCCATCAAGTCCTTAATTGGTAAGCATAATTGCTATTCTGAAAATATTTACATAATTACATTTGGCATCGTGGAACATCCAAGGATATGATCCGTGTTTAAACCATGTAGTGTATTGGTTTTTTAATTATATGATTTGTAAATTTGTTCCATATGGTTCAATTTGGTGGACGGTACGGTTTAAAGTAGGACCGTTTTGCCTGCTTTTTAGGTCTAAACTCTTGATATTATGGAATATCCAATATGCCACTCAGGCACTCACCCGCATTTTGTGAACTTTTTTAAAGTATCCCGTGCGTAGTATAAGTTTATGGCTAATACTTGTAAATATATGGTGGAAACAATTTTAGAATCATGCAAATTGGAACCAATTCAGCAGTGGTACTTAATTTCCTATTAGTTTAGATGTCGTCAAATTGCAAAAAAACTGTGTATGAAAAATTAATGAACAGCCAGAACTTGTTGAACTTAAAAAATTCTGGAGAAGCTTGAACTTCAGTAGCTTGATCTAATTCCTTATCTTCTTTAGGTCCTAGAGTCACTAATAAGAGCATTCTGAATATCAGCAATACTAGGCTTTGTGTGGTAAATTATTGCTAGAAATGTTGAGGTTAGGGTAACCTGATCTACATTAAATCACATTTCAGTTTGTTGTACTAGTGATTGAATTTGTTTTTACTGGCATTGACTTTCACAAGCATCAGCAGTGTGCATTTATTTTCACCGAACCATCGCTTACTAGTTTATTTTGAGCTAATATTAGCCAAAAGTTCATACCCATGTTTGTGCTCTGTGTAGTTTAAGCAAGCATAGCGAATAATTAATCATCTAAATTAAATCCATCTCCACTTTCCAGCCTTGCTGAATTCATAATTCTCTTTCAGCATTGAGTCTTTAAACTCAAGAGTGTATTAATTGCCTATGATGTACAATGATTGGTAGAAGCCTATATGATATGTACTGACAACGGTCAAGAATCAAAGCATAAAAGATGGGCATTGTTTGTTCCTTCAGAAAATGTAATAAAAATGAGATCATGATTCCCTAGAACGTATATTCATGCTTATGCTTGGAGAGCACATCTTGTACTTAACAATCTAGCTAGTCCTTGGGTTATAGCAGTAGTAAAGTTCAGGTTGTATTTCATGTGTAATTCAGTGATAATATTTTATCGGTACGTTTAGGAAACTTCCACATAAATTCTCTCTTGGTTTATTAACTTTTTTAGAATGAAAATCTGGCCTTTCATTTTAGAATTGACTATAAAATGCATAGTAAATGTTTAGTGCCTAGGAAAAGGATATACTGACTGAATGGGATATATATTTCATAGATGAATTCGTCAATACACGCGCATGATAGGCAAATTGACTAGTTATTGTTATTAACTTAAGACAAAACTAAAATATCTTATAAAATGTTGTCTAATTGACTAATTTCTGTTTTCAGCTCAAGTCTGAAACTTGAGCAGACTTGATCAAACTTTGGGTCCAGTTGTTTATTAAATGGGCTTCTTCATGACTGGAACTTGCAACTTACCTGATGTGACCGCAAACAAGTATATGGAGAGAGACACGTCATGGACATGTATGCATCCTACAATAGGACCATATATCAATCATGTGCAAGTTTTCATACACATAATATGTTAACAATTTGAGGTCGGGTCACAGTGTCAGTCCTATTAAATTTCTGTTAAATATGGATTTAAGTGGACTTCAAGCTGAATTATTTCTTGATATTATGAGCACTATTAATCTCAGCTATATCCAACTAAATCTGACCCTAAAGTTTCCTGGGCCCTGCCAACACTAAATAGGATACTCTTGGAAATTATTAACTTTTAACAGGACCGTAATGATAATGCCATTAACTGTTTAGTTTCTGAAACAAATAAATTTAGATTATACTGCCTCCTGCTGTCTTATAATTCCGCACTCGACATAATTCTAGTGATTCTTGCTATTTGCAGGATGATGGAATGGGGATTGCTTCCATAAGAGGAGGCCATGAATGTCTATGAGAGGGATTTTAAGAGAGCAACGAGTGTTTCAAGAAGAAAAACAGACAAGGGATCTTCAACCGCAATCAAGAAAATGAAGGAGAAAAAGGTCAGCAACAGTTCTGAGGATGACTTCATCTTATCTGAGAAAAAGAAGAAGATGAAGCAGAAGCAGCAGCAGCAGCAGCAGAAAGTTTCTTCCAGTTAATTCAATCATTTGACAGCCTGTTTCTGTTCATGGATCTTTTACTTTGTCTACACCAAACTTGTATAGATTAGCTCTATCTTTTAGACACCGAGAATTTTTCAGGGATTTAGGGTCATTGACAGCTCGAAACGCGTGTGATTTCGGATTCCATTGGTTAAAAATTTCACAAAACATCCTGGAACTTTGAGGGGGGCTTTTCGCAAACCCACCCAGATTTTATAAATTAGAAAAAAATTGCTGATGAACTTGTTTCACGAAAATACCGTGCTGGACAACTGTTAGTTTAAGATGTCATGTGCTTTGCGTGTGATATGTTTTGGACATGTCCTGGAGAAAGTTGACTTTTGGAAAAGTGGAAGAATGGATTTCGAGGCAATCAATGAAGAATTTAGAGGCTTTTGGAGAGATTGAGAAGATGGTGAGAATGTGAAAATTATGGAAGCTTGTTCAAGAAGAGAGTGATGGGGTAGTTTAGACCTTTTATCTTTCATAATTGTCGTTTGTGACAATTTACATTAGTTCAGAGGGATATGTATAATTGTTGAAGTTCATGAAATCGAATTTTGTAAAGTTTAGTGGGGGTTTTTGCTGCAAAGTGTGAAGCGGAATTTTTTTCCAGAATGCTGCGAAGAAATTTTCATGCGGTTGAAATCCACTTGCTCGGAGAGTCTCGTATTTGTATCAAGGAACAAGGTCATGTGAGTGGTTGTTGATGTATTAAACTATGGGGTTAATTTTAGAAAAAAACCCCTTAACTATGGGGCTTATCACTGAGAACCCCCTCAGCTATTTTATTTATGAAAAACACCCCTCAAATTTGACAGTATTGTAGATAAACCTCCTCAACTTTCAAAATATGACTAAACCCCCCTTAACTATGGAGTGTCTCACAAAACCCCCTTTATCTTTCTTATTTTTTTCCAAATAACCCCCTAATATTATTAATTTGAAATATACAATGACTAAAATGCCCTTGGTTGAAAAAAATTCATGTGAGTTTAAAAACCAAACTCAATCAAAGTATTACACTTCGGTTTGACGAGTTTTAATGATGAAACTGATCTTAAAAAAAAAATTAAAAGTTTCAATTGTGTCAAACATTATAAGTATGGATAAGAAGAAAATAAAAGAAGTTTAGTGTTTCAAAAGAGAAAGAAAAAAAATTAGATTTGCATGTAAACCTAGCATTGAAGATGGAGGAATAAGAAGAGAGAGGAAATAAAATGAAAGTTATTTTTAACAAAAAAAGTTACAAAGGAACACTATGGTAAAAAAAATTTAATGTCTTAGGGATAGAATGGCCATTTTAAATTGTTTGTTCTTTTAGATTTAAATTATATTTGGTTAGGGGGTTAAGTGAGAATAGTTGAGGGGGACAAATAATATTTTTAAAAGTTGAGAGGGTTATCTACATCAACTCCATAATTAAGATGTGTTTTCGTTATCGAATAGGGGTTTTTTTAGTGATTAGTGTTGGGTTAGGGTCCTCAAGCTTCTTCAGGTGTCTGGTTCTAGAGCCTAATGTTCTCTCCTGCACATAAAAAGCTCGTGAGAGGCCGGAGTTGGATTCTCCGGTTGTTCCACCGACAATCAAGTTAGTGTATGAACTTGGGTGGGAAAATAGGAAGTAAGTGAAGAAAATGAATTCAAAGTTTCATGAAAACAAAAGAAGTTACCTTATGCAGTGCAACTTCCTTTTATAGTAGCTCGAAAGGGCATAAAGGTAACTGTGGCCGAGTCCAGGTAGCTAACTCAGCAAGTTCCTTACAGGTGTTGACCGCTAAAGAAGATAAGTCATCAGATGTCTAATGGGAGGACGACAACAGGTGCTTGGCACTGACTAGGTCAGATGAGTTATGAAGACCATGGGGACTAGAGCAATGATGACTCTGACATAGTATCTAAGGCAAAGGTAATTGGTTGTTAGTGGGAGGTTCGAGGACACACCGCCTCTCTAGTCGTCTGGCTAAAGTGTTAGACCCTAATGCCACTAAGAAAGAACCCTAGAGGAGGGGTGAATAGGGTTTTATACTAATCTAATCCGATTTAATGCCAATTAAAAAACTTATTAACAAGTTATCCTAGCAAATAAGACATGCAACAATTATATGCAAGGATAAACAAACTAAGCAAGGGCAAACAATATAGTGGATGAAATAAACAAGATGCAATAGGCGATATAAGATGAAAACAAAAATAAGTGCGCCAAAACAAACACAAACAAGCAATATGATCACGGAGTTCGGACCTTCCGTCTTACGTCTCCGCTCCCCACTCCAGGGGAGAAATCCACTATCACACTGGGTTTTCGACGCTCACCCGAAAATATTTACACCTCACACTCGATTTTTTAGCTCACCAAAAACTTTACAATCAACACTCTTATAATCACACTCTACACCCTCTAAGTGTTGGTCTCTAGCCTGTGTCTCCATCAAGTGCTCGGATTTACAACCTCTCTCTAGGCTTTACTACCGACATCACTCCTCTTGGGACGACCCCGTCTCTCACCACACACTCCTCTCAGTGTACAAATGTATTATAAAGGTGTATCCTCACAATGAAGGCTCAATACAATAATTTGTTCTCTAATATGAATGAGAACACAAATAAGCTCACTCTCAAGGCACAACCCCACAACCCAAATATACTATGTATGAAAATACTAAAGCTCAATGGTTATGTGTGTAAGCAATGAGTAAAACAAATCTAAACTCAATATAAATCTAGCTTTAATAAAAATGATTAACAAACAAATAAATATAAAGCTAGAAAGAGTTTAGGAAAACTTCTATATAGATCAAGAGAGAGGGGGAGAAGAGTTGAATGCTCAAACACCAAAAGATGATCTCCTCAAGCTCTTGTGAAATTCTCTTCATAAAACCGAACATGTAAAATGCTTAAAAACTTCTTAAACAAACTTAAACTAAAACTTAAACCCTTGTTAAAACTTATTTAAAAACTTTCTTGGTTATGCAAAATAGATTGACAATGGGGTAGATATAGGGTGGAAGAAACCAGCCCAAGAAAACCTCAAAAACCCATAAAAATCATTAAACTACACAAAATCTAGAAATAGTCGTTACTGTGCAACGGTCAGATTTATAAATCAACTTATAAGTCGACTTGGTGTAAGTCAACTTAATATAAAATATAAGTCGACTTACAAGATGAAAACAACAAGTGGAAAACAAGATATAAGTCGACTTATAAAAGACTATAAGTCGACTTGTCATAAGTCGACTTGCCATGACTAATAAATCGACTTAGCAGAGGAAAATTTGATCATTCCAGAAGAGAACATAAGTCGACTTGTCAGGTGTTATAAGTCAACTTAAAAACATGCACAAGCACTGTTCATGCTGAAAATCTGATTTTTAAAGTACCTTTAAAAATAGCAAATAAATTTTAAAAATTGTAAAACTTTGGGAAATGTTTATAAAAATGATAATAAACATGTTACAAAAAGAATTTTTAGAATTTCACTTCCTAATAGTGAAAACTCATTATTTTACAAAACTGTCCAAAAACATGAAAATACAAAACACTTGTTTTTGTCATTTTGACTTAAACAAACTTTTGAAACTTTAAAAAATGATTTATAGACTTGATAAAACATATAAACTATTATTGTTAAGTCTATAAACCAAAAACTTAATATTATGCAAAAAATTCAAACAACAAATATGATTTTATTAAATTTAAACTTGTTAAAGATGAAATCATATATGTGCATATACAAACATGAAACTAAAATGTATTTTCCAATTTTATTCAATTGTTTCATATTTAAACTTAAAAAACTATAAAACCAAAACATGTGTGTGTGTGTGTGTGTGTGTGTGTGTGTGTGTGTGTGTGTGTGTGTGTGTGTGTATATATATATATAACCAAAAACTTGTATGTGTGTATGTTATTGAGCTTGAAGTATCTACACACAAGTGTAAACCTAAAACTAAATTACCCAATCTATCTTGATCTTCAATATGGCTCGACTTGGTAAACTTGGATGAAGCTTGAACTTGAATATTTGACTTGAATTGTATTGCTTCACTCTGATATTCCGCCAATCTCTAACTCATTGTTTGCCTAGAATAAATAAAAAAACACAAATACTAGACAAACAATATTAGTTGTAAATTGTTTGTTAAAACATCATCAAAACAAAAAGGTCAACAATCTTTCCCTTTTTTATGATGACAAACAATTTATCAATATGATATAAAATTAATAAAAAATACTATATACTCACATATTTCTCCCCCTTTGGCAATATAAAAAATGTGGATATAAAAAAATAGGAAAGAGAAAGCCCCCCTACCTATAATCATGGTGAATATAGGAAATAAATAATAGGGAATAGCTCCCCTTATCAAAAAGCCTTAATGAATATATGCAATGATGACCAAAGCAAACATATGTGAGCAAGCATAGATGAAAAACATGCTAATCATAACTCACATACAACAAGATCATGAGAACACATATAGATATATCAATATGAAAAACTTTGTCTCACAATACAAATATAAAAACCATGTATAAATATATTTATGAAAACAAAAGAATGAAGAACATGAGAATCATGGAAAAAAATTCAAATGAAAATAAATCAAATAAATAAATTCATAAATCAAATAAAATCCCATAAAAATAAACTAATATGAATTTTTGAATAAAAGATAAGAGAGACAACCATATCAAGCTCTTAAGCTTGTTCCAACCATATAAATATATAGCACCCAGTAAACATGATTTGGGAAATAAACACCCAATAAATTCGGGGGTTGCTCAAACACAAACCTCTCATGACAATCAAAAAAAATAACATGAAAACAAAAGAATTCATCAAAAAAATGTTTTCATTTTCAAAAATTTCAAAAACACATTTTTCAAAACCAAGAAATAATAAAAAAATGAAAATATTAAAAATCTTGGTTTAAAAGGATTTAGTACCTTAGCATCCTTGATGCCGAAAGACTTAGGGATATGACCCCTACCATTTAAGCTCAAAATCCTAGGATAATGATCTCGTTTGGGCACATGTGGTGCACTAACACGATCAAAAAAAAAAATTATACAAATAACATTTTCGGTTGTAATAGGTGCAATGAAAAGGGTTAAATGATTTATGTTGACCAAGTGTGCGTGCACGGGAATCATTTGCAAATAAATATTGTTTTTAAAAATTATTGTGCAAATGAGAAACTCTTTTCAAATAAAAACAAAATTTGGTCAAATGACCAAAATAACCATAATAATAACATTTGTATACATGAGCATCTTATGATGAACTTTATATGCATGTGTATGTGTATGATGCGATGAAGCTTGATGGAATGCACAAGAATCAATATTGTTGGATTTTGTGGATTTTTGAGCATTATAATAAAATTTAACAAGATGAGCTTTGCGACCGCAAATAGAGCATTTATAAACTTTGTTATACATGTGTGCATAGCGTGTAGGACTCTTGGAAGAATTTACATGGGACTCTGCACACAAGTCCATAAGCTTGTTATTATTTACAATGTATGTTTTAAGGGTTGAATCTAAAGATGATATGCGGTCCTTA